AAAACTTGTTTGTTGTGCCTCCCCATAGCCCTCTAGAATATACTCTTTAGGAGGAAGATCTGTCAGTTGCTCACTGAGCACCTAGATATTGTGTTAAGTATGTATGCAGAACGCATTGAAAGGCTGGAAAACCCTACTAAGACTGAAATATTTAGAGATTGCTGCTAGCAAGGGTGGTGCATCCCTGTAATCTCAGCACTCAGGAGGTTGAGGCAGGAAGATCAATGTACGTTCAAGGTCAGCCTGAGCTGCGTAGTGAGTTCAATATGTAGTGAGACCCTGCCTCAAAAGAAAACAAACAAAACAAAATAACAAAAAAAAGCCAAGCACGTGGTGGCACATACCTGCAATCCCAGCACTCAGGAGGCTGAGGCAGGAGGATTGCTGGACCTCGAGTCCAGCCTAGGTGCAAAGTGAGCTCAAGGCCAGCCTGAACTGCACAGCAAGACCCGGTCTCAAAAAGATAAAAAAAAAAAAAAAATCAGATTACAATGCTAGATATTCCAAACGTCAAAATATCCTGCCTCACAATATGTGTTGCATAAGCACTTGTTGAGTGGAATATGTGTCATATTTGAAAAGGAAACACACACGAGGCATTTCCACGGAGGCCACTTGTTGTGAGTCGTTGGGTGACTTGAACTCTGCCTGTTTTGCAAAACAAGGAGGGGAGTGCTGAGGACAGGCGGGAACCACTCAGGGGCTTCTCCAAGTAGAGCAGGATATTCATTTAGAGCTATGTTACTGCTGGGCGTGGGGGCGCACACCTGTCATCCCAGCACTCAGGAGGCTGAGGCAGGAGGATTGTTGCGAGTTCGAGACCAGCCTGGGCTACAAAGTGAGCTCAAGGCCAGCCTGAACTGCACAGCAAGACCCTGTCTCAAAAAGACAAAAAAAAAAAAAGAACTGCGTTATCTCCAGGAGGGTCTCCATCCACGAGTGAAATGCCTATGGCTACAGTCTTTAATCAGTTGTGGTTGGATCCAGGTGTCTTAGCTGCGGCTTGACTTGTCCTTTGAGGCCCCCTGGCTTCCCCCGCCATTAGAGGCTTCAGCTGGGACCAGTGACTCACAGAGGCTCACTGACTATGGGCCCACTGCCTCCTCCAGATGAGGGGCCTGGGCCACGGACAGGCTCAGAAGTAAACACGGAAGCCCCTTGGGTGATTTAAGTCCTGCTCAGGGCTCCCTCATAGCGGTCTCCAGCACTGTGACTTCTATGGTGTAGAATTATAGCTTTTCTTCTCTCCACATTTCCATAAGCTCTGTCTCAGAGATGGCCTGGGGAATTCAAGAGCTGAGATGACAGCATGGAGCACAGAAAGGAAAAGTTACCCGGGTCCTGTCACTCGCCTTCCTGAACCCGACACCAGCTCCCAAAGCCCTCAGGCCTCGAAGGGACTGAAAAGGAGCTGGGAACTCCTGCTTGAAATGATGGTTTGAAAAACGAACCTTCGTAGCTCTGGTCAGAGCGGTACATTTCGTCTGAGGCAGAACAAGGCAGTGCTGCAGGGCAGTCACGCTGCGGATCTAACTTCAGGTCCATTTCCCACGGCTGGACCTTCCACTGCTCTAATTCCCCTGAGCGCTGATCTCCCCACCTGTAAAATGGGGACAGTGGCAAATTAGGCGTGTGGTGTGGGTGAAATGTAAAGCGGTGTGAAAAGCCAACTACCCTGCTCTGTAAGTAATCAAAAATGGGAGCCACCAGGCCAGCGGCACACCCCTGCAGCCCTACTAAACGGTACTCAGAAAACTGCTTCAGCCAGGAGTTTGACACAGTGAGGCCAGCCTGGGCGACATCCCAGCAGCCCATCTGAAGAGAAAAAATATCACATAGTTTCTCTTTTTTTTTTTTTTTCCGGTACCGGAAATCAAACTCACGACCTTGCGCTTGCCAGGCAGGTGCTATGCTGCTGAGCTAAATCCCTAGCCCCTTGCATAGTTTCTCTTCTATGAGAAACTATGTATATAATCAAAATAGAAGGCAGAGAAATAAGAAATAGGGAAAAGATCAAATAATCCTCCCAATTATCTATTCTATTGTTTCAAAAATATTTTAAAACACATATGGTAATTTGTTTCTTTTTTATTTTAAAGAGAATAATAATAAGAAGAAGAACAGAGCCAGATGTGGTACTATACACCTGTAATCCCAGCACTGAGGAGGCTGAGGCAGGAGGATCATGAGTTAAAGGCCCACGTGGGCTACAAAGTGAGCCCAAGGCCAGCCTGAACTGCAAAAAAAGACCAAAAAAAGAACCAACTCTTTATTATTTTTCTGTATTGTTTTCTTAGTCTCCATTGTATTAATTTTAGCTCTGATCTTTATAATTTCCTGCCTTCTCTGGGCTTTGGGCTTGAATTGCTCTTCTTTTTTTACAAGCTTGAGGTGCAGCATAAGATTGTCTATTTGAGTTCATTCTGTCTCCTGATGTGGGAATTCACTGCTATAAATTTCCCTCTGAGGACAGTTTTCATTGGATCCCAAAGGTTCCTGTAAGTTGCTTCTGCATTTTCATTTGATTGTAAATATTGTTTACATTTTCCTTAATTTCATCTGTAACCCATTGGTTGTTCAGGAAGGTGTTATTTAATTTCCACATGTTTATTGAGTTTTTGAGATTTTCTTTTGTCATTAATTTCCAATTTCATTGCACTATGGTCTGATAGTATGCATGGGATGATTTCAATTCCTTTACATTTACTTAACCATGTTCTGTGTGCTAGCATATGGTCTATTTTACAGAATGTTCCATGTGCAGCTGAGAAGAATGTGTATTCTGATGCTGTTGGATGTAACATTTTGTAAAGGTCTACCAAGTCCATATGCTCAGAAGTTTGGTTAAGTTCTGTCATTTCTTTACTGATTTCTTTTGTCTAGTTGATCTATCTCTTTGTGACAATGGGGTGTTAAAATCCCCTGTTATGGTTGTGTTACTACTTCTTTGATTTTTCACATCTGTACAAATTTGTTTTTTATACTTGTGTGCTCATGTATTTGGTGCATATATATTTATGATTGTTATCTCTTTCTCTTGCAGTTTTCCCCTAACAAGTATGTGGTGACCTTTTTTTAAAATCTCTTTTGATCCTTCTTGGCTTGAAGTTCACACTGAAAACAGAATAGTTACACCCACTTTTTTCTGGGTTCCTGTTACATGGAGTATTGTTTTCCATCCTTTGATTTTTCAGTCTATGAATTTCCTTTTGAGTTAAATGTGTTTCTTGTGTACAGCACATTGTTGGATTTGTTTCTTGATCCACTCTGCTAGTCTGCTTCTTTTGGTTGGTGCATTGAGACCATTTACATTGGTGGTTATAACTGATAAGAAGTGGCTTATCTTTGTCATGCTATTTTCCTGCTGTTGGATCCTCCTTTTTCCGTCTGTTTAATTTTTTGCTCTGCTTGGTGGTTCCTTTCTGTTGTTGTTCTTGTAGTTGCAGCCTGTTTTATCTCTTTCTAGAATATCTTTTAGTGCTCTTTGTAGGGTTGGTTTGGTGCTCATAGGTTTCTTCAGTTGCTCTTTATTGTGGAAATTTTTATTTCTCCACGAATTTTTCAGGATAGTTTTTCAGGGTACATGAATCTAGGTTGGAAGTTGTTTTCTTTGAGGACCTGAAATACTTTACTCCTAACTCTTCTTGACTTGATGGTTTGTGTTGAGAAATCTGCCATGATTCTGATGGGCTTTCCTTTAAAGGGGATCGGTTTCTTTTGTGTAACAGCTTTTTCTTTTTTGTAGCAGGAATCGAACCCACAACCTCACACTTGTGAGGCAGATACTCTGCAATTGAGCTATAGCCCCAGCCTTTTTTTTTTTTTGTCTTTTTGAGACAGAGTCTCACTATGTGGTTCGGACTGAACTTGAGCTCATTTTGTAGCTCAGGCTGGTCTTGAACTCACAATGATCCTCCTGCCTCAGCCTCCCAAGTGCTGGGATTGCAGGTGTGTGCCACCATGCCCAGCTTTAACAGCTTTTAAAATTCTGTTCTTTTGCTGAATTTGTGGGATCTTGATAACTATATGTCTGGGTGTAGATATATTTTGGTTATGGCTAATTGGAGTTCTATATGCCTGATTAACTGTTTTTTGACTCTTTCCATGCTTGGGAAATTTTTGGTATTACTTGTGCAAATAGCCTTTTTATGTCATTTGTGTTGACCCCTGCTGTTTTGTTGACACCTATTAATCTTTTTTTGTTTTGTTTTGTTTTGTTTGTTTTTCTTCTGGTACCAGGAATTGAACTCACGACCTTGCAGTTGCCAGGCAGGCACTTTGCCACTGAGCTAAATCCCCGGCCCCCAACACCTATTAATCTTACATTATTTTTCTTTGCTTCATCTTGCAGCTGTTGAATTGTTATTTCCTGGTTCCTTGCTATTTTAAAGAGATCATTCTTTCATGATCATTAGCTGCAATGCTGTCTTCAAGGTCTGAAAGTCTATCTTTAGCTTTGCTCAAACGGTTTTGCCAGTCTTTGATGGAAGCCTTAATTTCCCTGGATTTCTGTTTCATGCATTCTAATTCTTTTCTAAATTGTTCATTCAAGGTTTCCATCATTTTTTGATGCTCCTCTCTTTTCTTTTTTTCTTTTTTCTTTTTTTTTTTTTGGTTTTTCTCCGGTACTGGGAACCGAACTCACGACCTTGTGCTTGCCAGGCAGGTGCTTTGCCATTGAGCTAAATCCCCAGCCCCTCCTCTCTTTTCTTATCTATGTCTTCCTTTGATGTGCTGAGCAATTCTTTCATTGTTGTTGTCCTTTCTTTTTTTACCTGAGAGATTATTTCCAATCTGATGGCTTCTATGGCCTAATGGAGTTGTTGCTTTTCTTTATTTGCTATCATTTCAGAACTTTCAGGTGTATGACTTCCAGGATCCTCTGTGTTGTTTCCTGGACTTGTTCTGGGTGGGCTGGAGGTCTGAGATAGCATTTTGCTCCTTTGTTTTGTCATTTTCAGAGACCCAGATGTTCCCTGGAGCTCAGCCTCACGTCCTCCATGGTGTGGGAGTGGCGGTGCAGCACCGATAGCTCTGCAGTGCTCAGCAGGACTCCTGCGATGCCATGGGGGGGTGCAGTCGCCGATGCTCTGAAAGCTCTCCAGGGCTCAGCTGTCTCCCGTGCCCGTGGGGCAGGGGGTGTCACAGTCACCAAGGTTTCTGCAGCTGTCCAGGGCTCCGTTGGGGCCCATGAAGGGTTCCCAAAGGTGACAGGGGTTCTCCCCACTTCCACCACGGTGCGGGTGTGGGCAGGGCTTGGTCACCCAGGTTCCCAAACCTGTCTGAGGTTCACCTCAGCTCCCGTGAGTGTGCACCGGGGATGGGGCATGAACACTGAGGCCCCTGAAACTGTCCAGGGCTCTGCCTGCCTTGCACACCGGTGGGAGAGGGTGGGGTGGCTCAGAGGGTCCTGAAGCTGTCTGGGTTAGGGTTAAGGTTAGGGTTAGGGTTAGGGTTAAAGGGTGCAGGTGGGGCGGGTCCCGGTCACCTAGGCTCCGGATGCTGCCGGTGACCCAGCTGGCTTCCCCCACAGTGTGGTAGGGGGAAGGTGCAATCACTGAAGCTGCTGAAGGGGTTAGGATCGAGTCCCACAAGGTTCCTAATTTTTTTCTTTTATACTATTAGTTTCCCTTAGTTCATTGAAAAGAGAGATTTTCCACTGAAAACCTGCTGGATGTAATCAGAAAATTCAGCAGCATATCTGTATAGAAAGTCAACACTGAAAAATCAATAGCCTTCCTGTACAGAAATAAGAAACTCACTGAGAGAGAAATTA